TTTCATTTCACCTAATTATAGCGTATATTTTACGTGTTAATGTGACCACGCCTAAGGAGGGCGCACGCTATTCAAACGCAAATGTTGAGGCAAGCCATGCCAACGCCCACATCAGCTGGATAAAACATCCAGTTTAATAAGAATCTTATACTTTACCTCGTCTTGCTGCGCTGTGAGCAATAATACTATTGTAATAATCCTGGAAAAGTTACCTCAGAAGTGCTGGTAGTTTCATTTCGAGGAGCACGGATTCAACTGATGAAGTAAGTTATTTATTCTTAAGTGCTTTGTTCTAATCGCGTTATTGAATAGTATCTGTAAACTGCACAAAGACTGTTTAAATATGAATTGCGTGTCTGTGAGTGAATGAATGAATGGCACAGACGCGCGTGTGATGTTGTTTACTATAGATGTACATCGCATCTGTGCATTCATTCACTCTCGCTCCTACATTAGTAAACGTTATTTTTACATGAACACATCCAAACTATATTGCTATAGCCTACTGAGATTTGTTCTAATCGCGATATAGAATAGTGTCTGTAATGACAACATTTCATTGACTAGTTTTGGATAGATTATAAAGTTTTTACTCTAAAATAGACATCAAATAAGCTTTTGTTAGACAGTTTCTGCTCATATGTTAAATATATAGTATGTTTTGTCAAAAATAAACTAATCAACTGTTATAGTGTTTGTTCCAATGCAAGCTATATAAAAATAACGAATCCTTAACTTTGAAATATGTATGATAAAATGTATTGGCCTACTTAAAAAAATAATACTTTATACGACATTTATGGAAAAAGACTATTTTCTTTTCAAGATGTTTCCAACTCTAACTTTGAACCAATTCTATAGAATGGCCCATATAGCCTATTTGAACAGGATTTGTTTCCAGGTATGACTAAAAATGTGCATTAGACTTTCATTTATATTTTGATTATATATTTATATATATATATATATATATATATATATATATATATATATATATATATATATATATATATATATATATATATTGTCCTTCCATTCTTTCTTGTGTGACAAACCTGAATGAAAGGCTCATTATTATGCGGGTCTTTGTCTTCTCAGGTGTGAACCACCTAATTATTCATGACAAGGGGTTGGGCCGTTCACACCCATCCGTATATTGCCTTTCCAAACAAAAAAATGTTTTTCACAATTTAAAACAATCTATTGTTTTATGTGAATGATTAGACATGATGATTTTCAGATCATTTTGAAGCAAAAACTCTAGGCGACAACATCCATTAGTCAAAAGTATTGTGGACACATATTTAGTATGTGTTTTGTGGCCTTATTTCAGAAACTTTAATTTTTAGTTTTTTCAATAACCAGTTCAATAACCAGTTTTTCTCAAAAATACAAACATGTACATACATGTTGCTCACATATTACGGTAGCCCTGTTTGTGCTAAATAGAGTGTAATTTCACCTGTGCCATTAATATGTTTATAAGCAACTGAAAAAAGCACAAATGTCAGGGCATGTCAAAACATCTCAAGGACCCCAAAAACACCTTAGACCCCAGAGGGTTAAGACCACTTGGGCGTGAGTATGGCAGGCCTCCTCTTCTTAGAGTCTCTTTGTTAAGGCCCCTGCTCCCCATAGCCCTGTGAGGCAGTATATGTCTCTAAATTCGAGACTAGTTAGCAAGGGTGTTTTTGATAGAGTGCTCCATCTCTCAGATAGCGCCGAGTAAGCCTAGTACTCCCTTGGTTCCTTGGGTCATCATGCAGTGTACTTCACCTCAGGTCGAGTTCTAGCAGGCCCTCACAAAGCTTGGGCCTCTATACTCCCAGTAGGCAGGTGTGTTAGGGTGACAGGCTCCCAGTGTTAGCCTCCCTTATGCGGCCAGGTCGCCCCAAATGCAGACTCCAGTACTCCCCTTAAGTTTAGGGTCATCATGCTGAGTATGTCTCCAGCGGCCATATTTATAAAATGCACCTAAGGTTGTCGTAGGCTTCCTCTCATTCTTAGTGTTGTCATGCTGAGGCCTCCATCCTCCAGAGTTCCAAGCAGATAGATTTGGTCTCTGCATCGGGAAGAAGCCTCTCTCTTAATTCAGAGAGTTAAATTTTAGGCCCTTCGCTTCCTCAGCTCTGTGTTGCGCTAGCTAGACCTGGCTGATTTTTAAAGGGTATGGTAGGCCTCCTCTCCCTTAGGAGAGTCATTCTGCTGAGGCCTCCATGTTTACAGCTTGTTAGCTGCATGTGTCAGGCCTCCTCTCATTTGAGAGTCATCCTGCTGAGGCCTCCATGTAAACAGCCCTTCAGGTAGAGCTTGAGAAGTGGTCCCTCCCTCTCTGAGGAGGTGTTTTAGGACCCTCGGTCCCTGAGCTCTGGTGGTAGTCAAGTTAGCTGTCCTATCTACATGTGTCAGGCCTCCTCACCTTCGAGAGTCATCATGTAGAGGCCTCCGTACAAACAGCCCTCTAGGTAGAGCTTAAGAAGTGGTACCTCCCTCTCTGAGGAGCTGTTTTAGGACCCTCGCTCCCTGAGCTCTGGTGGTAGTTAAGCTAGCTGTCCTCTCTACATGTGTCAGGCCTCCTCTCCTTCGAGAGTCATCCTGCTGAGGCCTCCATATTTCCGGCTTGGTAGATGCCGGTGTAAGTCTGGTAAGCCCCTCTTCCTAATAGAGTTATCCTGCTGAGGCCTCCAGGCGAGCCTGTAGCTGTATTCTAGCATGTGTCAGGCATTCTCTCCTTCGAGAGTCATCCTGCTGAGGCCTCCATGGAAACAGCGTTGCAGGTAGGAGTAAAAAAAAAGGCCCCCTCGATAACAGAGTTGCTTTTAAGCCCTTTGTCTGAGCTCTGAAACTATGAATTTTTCACATTTTAGATTAAGTTCTGGAAGAGCCACATTGGTGTAAGTGGGCAGGCCTCCTCTGCTCTTGAGTCATCCTGCTGAGGCCTCTGCTTCCCATACTAGTAAGCAGGTTGTTGGCTTCAGCATTAAGCATGATAGCCTCCCTGGTATGGGGGTTGACTCTGTCCTCTCGAAAGTAGCAGGCTATGGCCCATAGGCTCTGGGCCATACTCCCTTAAAGGAACCCCCATCTGAAAGTCTGTGGTTCCCATGCCCTTAAGCTGGCAAGCCCTTTGTGTGATTCACGGAGTTCCCCCTCGCTTAGCATGGAGCTTGGGCAGTGGCCGTAGGGAGTAGTGCTACTGTTAGCCTGACGTGTAAGCAGTAAGGGGCTTTAACTTTGAGTTAATGTGTTTTTACTTGTAGCCATAGTTGCTAAAGCATCCCCTCAGCATGGCAGCATGGGTAGATCGTTCCCCTAGCACTTTGACGCAGTGCGAGTTCCCTTTCGAAAGGGAACGTCTCAGGTTACGACTGTAACCTATGTTCCCTGAGAACAGGGAACGAGACACTGCGTCTCGTCGCCATGGCTCCGGTCTGCTTTTACAGTCCCTTCAGACGAAGAAGTGGATGACATGTTCTCTAGGCGCCCCTTTTATACTTCCTGGTCGCGCTAGAGCATGACGTCATGGCTGACGCCGGCCAACAAGGTTGTCGTGATTATACAGTGTTTCAGTCATCAGACACGCTGAGGCGTTTCCCCTAGTGCTTTGACGCAGTGTCTCGTTCCCTGTTCTCAGGGAACATAGGTTACAGTCGTAACCTGAGACGTTTTCTACAGAACTGCTTCATAGATTAAATGAATTAAATTAATAATTGATATTAATTTAATATAATAATAATAATAATAATAATAATAATAAGTAATTTAATAATTTAATTTAATGATCTTTACAAAAGAACTGAATCAACACTGCACTGCGCTGAACAATGACACTAATTTCCTTTAGAGCTGCTGTACAGCTGAAATGAACTCTGTTTTCATCATTGAATCATTTTCACTGTAAAGCTGCTTTGAAACAATCTTTATCGTATAAAGCGCAATATAAATAAAAGGTGACTTGACATCACAATAAGGCTTCAGAGTGACAGCATGGCCGCCATAGAGACAGTATAACCATGGCTCATCTTATGGGAGCAGCGTATTTGCTGATTTCTAAACTGAGGCTGGATGTCCTGACCGGTCAGGGTGATTGGGGGGAAGGGTTAAGGGCAGGTCTTCAGAGCAGCTGATGCTATAGCAACATGTCAGTGCAATCAGAAGAGTCAGCTGCTGGTTAACACAAGCATACAGGTGTCAGGAGTGTGTGTGTGTGTGTGTGTGTGTGTGTGTGTGTGTGTGTGTGTGTGTGTGTGTGTGTGTGTGTGTGTGTGTGTGTGTGTGTGTGTGTGTGTGTGTGTTGTGCTGAGACAAACACTCAGTAAATTGCTGTGAGGATCAGGGAACAGAGTTGGCAGATGTCGGGGTGCCGTTTTTACTGTCACTTTAATGAAAAGAGGTGAAGACTGTAGCACTATCTATGTCTATGTATCTATGTAACTATGTATGTATCTATCTATCTATCTATCTATCTATATCTATCTATCTATCTATCTATCTATCTATCTATCTATGTATGTATCTGTCTGTTTATCTATCTATCTATCTATCTATCTATCTATCTATCTATCTATCTATCTATCTATCTATCTATCTATCTATCTATCTATCTATCCGTTTATCTATCTATCCACGTATCTATCCGTTTATCTATCTATCTACGTATCTGTCTGTTTATCCATCTATCTATCTATCTATCTATCTATCTATCTAATAAACTATCTAAACAAAAAATAAGGCAGTTTTTTTTTTTCTATTGTGGAACAAAGAGTTTCATTATGCAAGCATCATGCTTTACATTATAGCAGGGGCACCGCTGGGGTTTCTGGGCCCCCTGGCTAACTCGCTATAAGTTCTAGGGGAGCTGGGTATGAGAGAGCTGGCCCCCGATAGCGCACACTATCTGAATCGTCCTAATCTTCCCCCCATTAAGGTGCCCCTGTATCACAGCACAAACTATCATAAATGGACAAATGCACAGACACATACACATGGACAATACTTACCGACAGTTTGCTGTCATCCTCCACTTCACTAGGGCTCAACTTCACAGTCAAGAGACGAACAAAAAGAGAAAGAAAGAAAGAAAAGAGACAACAGTACAGTGATGTGAGACAGGACCAGCAGACAGTAGACTGACATCAGACTCCATAGAGGCACATATACACTAACACCACATCAACTGACAGTCAAAGCTGGGACAGAGCTTGCAGAGTGTGTTTGACCTCTGACCTTCGTGAGTGTGTGCTCTAAACTCACCAACAGTGTGTTTTGACTACCATAAAGGTAAAATGATGCCATAAAGAATCGCATGCGCAAGAGAAGCTTTGTAAAGGTGTAAATCGAGTTTAAAGCGTAAGAAAAAATGGTTTGCAGCATTTTACTGTTATTCATAACTGTAATTCATGTATTGTGAAATTGGAGCTTCATGCTAACGCAAAATAAATATGATCTGTATTTTTCAGACTTCCATTTGTCCATGCTTACATTTTTGCCACATTTTTTTTCGGTGAAATACGACCAAGAGCATTGCAAGCCTGTGAACAGCGATTTGCAAGTGAAAACAAGAGTTTAAGAACCGCAAAACAGATTGGCTGCGTAAAACCAAAATTTGTGTAAAAAAAAACTTTGCAAATGTCTAAATGACTTGTTGAGTACGTAGGGCAAAAAGTTCCCAAAATAACCCAATATGTACGGTTCTGTCTTTCTTTTAGCTGTGAATATAGTTTTTGCACAATTCTCTCACTCACTGAGTTTTGCAAGGTAAGGAGGAAGGTGGGTCCTTCTTCATGTAGCCAATCAAATTAGGTTCTCAGTGACTTGATTTACTCTTATCTGATTGGTTCAATAAACACGCAGAACGGCAATACAATATATATATATATATATTTTAGATGCCAAGACATTTATCTTCATTTAGTTCAGCATTGTTCTTGCTGCAAGAATGGTACTTTTAACGCACATGTACTTTTAACTTTTCAAATCATAATGTATATAATGTTGGAAATCTAAGTTCATTTGTTACATGATTTCTGTATTATAATCTTTATTTTATTATTATTATTTTAATTGTTGTATTTGTTTTGCTATATCTAGCTGTATATATAATATTGTCTTTTTTATTTAGATGAATTATTATTTTCTCTACATAGAGATGTTATTCATATTCATACTCAGATGTTCAGTTGCTCTAAATCATTTTATATGTTGTTTTAATGCTTTGGCAATACAAAATGTTTTTGTTTTTTTTGTCATGCCAATAAAGCTTTCTGAATTTAATTGAAATGAATCGTGCCGTAAGCGCAGCTAAAAGACAGACGCTGCAAACAATGTTGCAATGCTGAAAACGATTTTTTTGCACTTGAAACACCTCTACAAATCTTCTCTTGCGAATGCTAATTTAATTTACACTTACAACCTTCCACATATCTTACTCTGCGCATGCGATTATGTATGGCATCATTTTACCTTCATATAGAATTCTGACATCTGACCTCACAGAGATTGTTTGACCTCTCACCTTAAAGAGTGTGTTGACCTCTTACCTCACTGAGAGTGTTTTAACCTCTAACCTCACAGAGTATATTTTTTGTGACTTCTGACCCTTGTGAATATGTTTTGACCTCTGACAACATTGCCAAGTGTGCAGTTTCACCTCTGACATCAAGGGTGTTCTATTACCTCTAATTTCACAGAGAGTGTGGTCTGCTCTGACTTTTAACCTCACTGAGTGTATTTTTGAACTCACCAAATGTGTGCTGTGACATCACTGTCTTATGAAATATAACCTTCCTATTTGTGTTCTGACCTCACAGTTTATTTTGACATTTCCAAAGTTTATACCTTAGACCCTTACTGAATGTGTGTTTTGACCTCTAACCTCACAAAGTGTGTGTTGTCACCTCTAACCTCACAGAGAGTGTGTTCTGTCCTCTGAGAGTGTATATTTTGACCTCTGACCTCACCTAATGTGTGCTGTGACCTCACTGTGTCTTATGAAACATGACCTTACTGATTATGAGCTGACCAAGAAAAGACGTCAATAAAACAGATTCAATGTCACTTAATGTTACATTTACCTCGGAAAAGCCATTCAATGACCATATACTCAGGGCTGGAACGGGGGGCAACGCGGGGGACAGAGTCTGGGGAGGAAATTTCAAGGGCACGGCGTTCCAGTTTAAATTGGTTAGATTTTTTAGGGAACTGAAAGGTATTTCTATCTTTTATCCACTCAATAGCCAACGAAAGTGATATGAATTAAGCACAAAAACATAGCGCAATATAATTGCACGATTAATCATTAAAAGGTCGCAATCTCGATTCAAACACCCACACAATCTTATTCCTAAATGACAGTGATTCGGCTCTGTCTATTTTTGACGAGTGCGATCACAGCGAACATTCAGATCTGCTTTGGCACTGCCACTGACCCAGAGAGAGCAGTTGTCATGTATACTATAGGTATGAAAAAGCTTCAAAGATTCATTTCCTTCTCTGTGGGCCTCGAGTCAGTTCACTAGTGTAATAGCGTAAGCTTCTGTTGTTGTACGTCACACGCATCACGCACATGACCAGCGTCGGCCAATAGTGAGCCTACGTGTGACGTAGCTCTACGGAATCACACTACGTTAACTGAGTAGAGGCCCAAAGAGAAGGAAATGAATAGTTGAAATAAAGTTGTTATTTTTGTTTGTTTTTGCGCACAAAAAGTATTCTCGTCGCTTGATAAACTTAAGATTGAGCCACTGTAGTCACTTGGACTATATTAACGATGTCTTTAATAACTTTTCGAGGCCGGCAAGTTCAATCCCTGAAGAAGCCTATGGACTAGTATGGAGGAGTGATCCAGCTCTCAGATTTCATCAAAAATATCTTAATTCGTGTTCCGAAGATGAACGAAAGTCTTACGGGGTTGGAACAACATGAGGGTGAGTAATTACTGACAGAATTTTCATTTTTGGGTGAACTAACCCTTTAACCTGTTCCTCAAATACAATGTACTGTAAGCTATGTTTGAAAAAATCTGTCATGTTTTTACAGTCACCATTTACATTTTTTTTATTTAAAAAAACTAGTAGAAATATAATTGTCATTAAAACGTTATTATTATAAAATTTGCCATGTAGCCTACTGTACCTGATACATAGCCCAGTTAATTGATATTGAATCAAACTGAATCATAATTGAATCTGAATCGAACTGAATCGCAAGCTATTATGAAATTTTTGTCAATATCCAGCCCTACACAACAGCCTATGGCCCTTAAAACAACACTTTCCAATAAACCAGTCACTCAAAGCCCAGTCTGGAGCAATGTGGTCCAATCTATTCTAATCCAGTTCAATCAAGAACTGGTTTATAGTCGGACGGTCTCTTGAAATGGGTGGATCTGCTCAGAGTATGCAGTAAACTGATGTAAAGCTCTCTGAGTTCTGTTCCAGTGTTCCCAATCCAACAGACTGTAACACAGCGAATCGAGCTGAAAGGTCATGTGCAGTGGACACTGCTACTAACATCAGTGGGATCAGTTCAGCAGGTAATGCAGAACCATTGGAGCCTCAATCATGATGGAAAAGACGCTAAAATTAGCTCTTAGGGCTAAATGAGCTCCAAGAGAGCGCACTGGAAGAAATCAATTTGAATCTCACATCTCTGCACACCTAGTTTACTCATCACCAACCTGAAACCAACTTGTACTGCGACTCTGTTAAAAATCAGCATCCATTTCCATGCTTTTATTCGATTGTAATTTAAATCTTTTTGCATCCACAGTGCTGAGCACACTAAAGTTGCTTTTTGTTTAGTATCCTCATCATATTTCAAATATAACTCCACATAAATCAATAAAATACATAAGTAATAAAAACATAAATAAATCAAATGCATAATTGAAATGCATGCATACATACATACTTACATACAAGCATAACCAGCTTTCCAACTCTTGTTAACTAGTGACCCAATTTTCTGTAAGCAGAACTAATTACAAAAGCAGCCACTCTTATCACCTATAGGGGATTTCAGGACGGCACGGACCTCAAAGCGCAAATCACAGAGGAGCCAAATCATCAATCTCCAACACTTAACAGAAAAAAAGGAAAAGCCTCCTCAATTGAGTGTAACATCCTAAAATAAGGCACTAAGATAAAATGTCTGTACAGTATGCCTCTTTAATCAACAAAACATAAAATCAGTGCCACTGTTGCACTGGAATATGGAATATGTGTAAACAAGGCCCATTCATTCGCTAAATAGTGCAGCTCAGATATTTTAATTAATCAGGCAACTTAGTTTGGCTTTCTCTAAGCAGCTCAGAGTAAGATTTGAAGATGTGAATCAAATGTGAAGCTGATAAGAAGATGTGAGCTGACTAATTGGATGCATTACAGATCTAAGTTTAAGCCCATTACTTAAAGAGCATATTGCAGGTAAATTTTTTTACAAAATGAATATATAACCATGTATGCAAATACCATATGAAAAGTTAATTGAGGATTTGAAATGTTTTACAAGACATTAGGGCACAAATTTAATAGAAAAAGTGACAGTTTCTTTGAAAGTTTTTTTTTACATCGCCCAATTTTACATCACGAGAGGGATTTGTCAGCCTGTGGTTCGGCCGGTGGCGGTATGATACATAATAATAATCTGTACAATGTTGTGATCTGAGCATATCATTAGCTAACAACGTGTATTTATCTATATAAGCTAACACTGGTCTCTCACCAAGACACCTGCCCTGTTCTCCACTGGTTCTCCTCACACCACAATTCAATTTGTCTCCTCTGACCGTTGTTCTGTCTAATCTTGGCCTGTCCCTGCTCTCTTGGATGCATAGCAGGCTCATAATTGTATGGCTGTGGTCCTTCATACGAGTGTGAATAAACATTTACAATTTCCTCAGCGTTCGAACTGTCATTGCGATCCATTGTTTTCCTTTTGTTTTAATTGTCCGGCTCCCTCCCGTTACGTCACTTCCGGTTTGGCATTTTTCAGATGCGGAAGTAAAAGATCAAAGAAATCCTCACAAAAATGACTACAG